GACGGGTGGGCGATCCTCTGACGGGTGGGTCGGGCGGGTGGGACATTCAAGCGGGATGCCTGAGTAGGGCGAGAGCGCGATTCCGAAGGAAAGTGTGACGGCGTCCTTGGCGCGAGCGTGGTGCCTGAGCGTAGATAGCGCGATTTCTGGATAAACTGCGATAAAGTCACAGGCGAGAGGGCAAGTCCTGAAAAGGGGATGTCTGGCGGGAGCGGGGGCCTAGATTAAAACGCAAGGAAACCTTAAGCGGGAGCGCCGTTCTTGAGTAAATTGTGAGGGAGCCTCAGACGGTAGGGGGGTCCCGACTAAATCACAAGGAAGTCACAGGCGGGAGCGCCGATCTTGAGTAAATCGGGAGGAAGTCTCAGGCGGGAGCGGAGGTCCTGAGTAAAGTTGGAGGAAGTCTCAAGCGGGAATCGTTTTTGTTGTAGCCCAGGGGAGCAACAATGCAGTTTGACCCAGACTGAATTGTGAGGAAGTCTCAAGCGGGAACGCCGTTCCTGAGTAAATTGGGAGAAAGTCTCAGACGGGAGGGGGGGGGCTGAGTAAATTTGGAGGAAGTCTCAGGCGGGAGCCGTTGTTGTTGTAGTCTTGGGGGCCAGGGGTACAGTTTGGTCACCAAGATCTTCAGAGTTCAACAATAATAACAACAGCAACAACACCAACAGCAACAAAAACAACAAAAGCAACAACAACAACAACAACAATTACTAGCACGTGGGGACACACCGTTCTCACCAGTGCCAGGGTTTTCATAGGAGGCGGGCAATACCCCCACTTTGTGGGGGGGCCGGGGCCGGTTCAAGCTCTACCAAATTTCCAAACGACTCGTCGCCACCACCCACACCCAGCTTCCCGCCCTATGACGTTCGGACACTTCACTTCGTGGCATGCGGACGACCGTGGCTACTATTCAGGGCCCCGCGGCCGACGACGACGGCGTGCGCGCGCGAAGAAAAAACGAATGTGTCCCGCATGGTATTATTTGACAGGGATGATGGCCCTGGCAGGTGCGCAACCGTTGTTGCAGAAGTTCGAAAAAGTTGCTCGCAAAAGCCCGTTTGACAGAAATGATTAAAAAGTGTTGGGTTTCCTACGAATCCGCAAGAGCGCGCGGGATGAATTTTGACAATTTTTGTTTTGAAAAACCATTGGTTTTTTTGATGTTTTTATGTTAAAATCGCTACGAAAACTAAGGTTTTGGAAGGATTTCGTCTTGCGCGCGCGAATGTCCACTTTACCTTATTTTTTGCAAGGGATTCTTGAAGTTTGGTTATGTTAGAACAAGAAATGTCCACTTTAGCTTATTTTTTGCAAGGGAAAACCGATCGTAACAACACAACCGGATCCGGACCAACCCGTTTTGCCTGAGACTTCCTCACGAAAATGATGAAAATGAGGCTGCGGCCTAGGCGCGGCGGGGGGGTCGTGCACCAGGGGCCCCAACAATAATTATTCTTTAGAAGTAATAGTGTTCAACAACAACAACCTTGGTGATGATGGTGCCTGGCAAACGTGGGTCCGCGTGGCATCAGCCTGGTTGTTGTCGCTCAGTTCAAACCAGTCGAAAGGGGGGGGGGGAGGGAGGGGAGGGAGGGGGGAGGGAAGGGGGAGGGCAGCGGCAGGGCGCCGCAGACGCTGGCGTGGCGCGGGACCATTCAGAAGCCTCAAAGCCTCCGGCTCCCAGAATTGCAGGGGCCTTGGGGCACCTCCACTACATGCTGACGGCCCAGTGGCGAATCCTGGCGTCATCTAGCAGTCGTCCTGGGGCGGCTTTGGGCAGTGTCTTGGGGCTGCGAGGGAGCTGTCGTCGACACAGCAGGGGATAACGGTGCGTCTCCACGTCGTCCTCGTCGTCGCCTCCTCGTCGCCCTCGCCTTCTTTTTTTGTGTCTCTTCTTATTATTTGTTTATTATTATTATTTTTCTTCTTCTTCTTCTTATTATTATTAGTATTATTATAATGGACTAAAGCGGCGCTTCCCGTTCGCGTCCGATGAGGTAATGGTTCAGTACGGTGCCCTGCCGAGGAAGAGCTCCTCGAGATCCATGGGGTTCCGCAGGGCCTCGCCAGAGGAGGAGGAGGAGGAGGAGGAGGAGGAGGAGGAGGAGGAGGAGGAGGAGGAGGAGGAAAAGGAGGAGGAGGAAAAGGAGGAGGAGGAGGAGGAGGAGGAGGAGGAAAAAGAGGAGGAGGAGGAGGATCAGGAGCCTCCATGGGGTCGACCTCGATGCGTGGGCGGCGCATCGGGGCCCCTGGGGGAATTCAAATCCGCCAAGTCGTCGCTTGCGGCGCCGCGGCCCAGCCAGGGCCTGGGGCGGCCCCCCGACCCTACCGGGTGGTCCCCGTGCGGAGTCGGTCTGCCGTCTCAGGTTCCCCTCGGGACCCGACGGTCTGGGGCCGCGTGAGTAACCCCTCAGGGCTGGCGCGGACTGGTTCTCCAGTCTGCGTCGGCCTGCGTGGTACCAGCCTGTGCGGGGGCTGGCTCTGGCCACTGTTGCCGCCCCTGACGTCGGGGTGTCGGGTGTGGCCAGAGGGGTCGATTTTCGTGGGGAGTACGGCTCAAGTCGTGTACCGCCTGGCCCCCCTTGGGCAAGGGGGCCTGTGGGGGCGGGCCAGGTTACCCATGCACGGTAACACGCGCCGTGTGCCCCGCGCGGTGGCGCGGGTTAACCTGTGTCCCATGGCGCAGGAAGAACCAGGGAGGCATTGGGGCCGACCGCCATCGGCGGGTTGGTGGAGCTCCGGAGCTCCACGTGGCAGTGGCGAGCCTGGCGGCTTCTTCTTTATGTTTGTTTTCTCTCTCGGGCCCCGCCATGAGTACGCGGCCCCTAGCTCCGGGGGGGTGCGGGGCGGCGGGTTTGCCCCGCCCCACGGCGGCGGCGGGCGCGCGCACTCATCGCCCGCTACTTCGTGCGCAGGAGGAGGCGGAGGAAGAGGAGGAGGAGGAGGAGGAGGAGGAGGAGGAGGAGGAGGAGGAGGAGGAGGAGCTGGAGGAGGAGGAGGAAGGAGGAGGAGGAGGAGGAGGAGGAGGAGGAGGGTAGTGAGGGAGCCCCTCAAGCCGCGCACCGCAGTCTGACGGCGCGCGGGCGTCGCCCCCCCCCCCCCCCCACCCACCCCCCCAGGGGCGACGCGCGCGCCGAGAAAAATCTTGCAGCGAACGGCAGCATCCGAGGAAGACGCGCAGTACAGCAGTGGAAACCCATGCCAAGAAACACCCTGCTTGCCTCCAGGGTGCCTTGGGTTTATTGGCTTCCGATGGTGCCATGGAAGGCGCGACGTTCCCACACCCAAATCGATGGACGTCCTGGGGTCTCAGGGTTGGGTTTCTTGTGGAAGGTTTCTTGTGGTCGAGCCCCTACTGCACTACATCTTCCCAGACATCCGCCGACATGATTTTTTCAATCCGCGGCCCCAGAGGTCCCGACCCCTTCCCTGGAGGTGTTTTTCGCCCCGGCGAGGCCATTATCGGGCCGCGGGCCGATAATGGGCTTCGGAGGCCGAAGTCCAGGAGAAACCGCTGGATTAAATAAATCATATCCTCGGATCTCTGGGTTCGGGTCGGACGGGAGCATCCGAGGGGGTACCCTTCATGTGCTCTTCCGCCCGCAGCGCGCGCGGACCGGCCCGGCGCCACCCGCGGGAGGCGCGAAGAGAGGGAAGAGCGCACTCCGCGCCTCGCGCCTCGGCCCGGGGCGGCCGCCCTCGCCTCCCAAGGGGGCGGCGCGGGGGGCGCGAAGGTGCTGTCGGGAGCCTTGAGACGGAGGTCCATGCAGGCGGGGGTCAGTCAGAACGCCCGATCTTGCAGGATCCTGCAGGGCCAGGGTCGCATTGACCCGGGCTTGGGCGCAGGATCCTGCAGGATCCTTCGCATGGACCCGGGCTTGGGTGCAGGATCTTACAGGGTTTGGCAAGGCCTGACTGACCTTGGTCTGGATTGACCCGGGTCAGAAGATCTCCGATGCTCGCGCATCATGCGGGGCGCGATGCGCGAAGTTAGGTTTACGTCGACCATGTCCCCCCATAGGCGGATTTGGGAAGAAGAACGATCTATTCAAAAAATAGTCGAAGAATCGCCCCGAGGCAATTTCCCGACCCAGGCTCTGCCTAGAGGGTTCTTACTCGCTGGGCTTACAGGGGCCGGGCAGTGGGCTTCGCCCCGGGCGGTTCCCCCGGTCCCCGCCCCGCGGTTCCCCCAGCTGCGCCCCCTCATTTTAGCTTTGCGTATCTCATCTTAGCTTAGCTTAGCTTAGTTTAGCTTAGCTTAGCTTAGCTTTAGTTTAGCTTCGCTTAGCTGTAGCTGTAGCTGTAGCTCAGCTTAGTTTAGCATATCATAGCATAGCCCATCATAGCATAGCATAGCGCAGCACAGCATTGCATAGCATCGCATAGCATTGCATGGCGCAGCATCGCACAGCATAACATAGCGTAGCGCAGTATAACATAGCATAACATAGCCTATCATAACATAGCGCAGCCTAGCGTAGCATAGTATAGTGCAGCATAGCATAGCATAGCATAGCATATCATAGCATAGTATAGTGCATCACAGCATAGCATAGCATAGCATAGCAGCAAAACAAATGCAAAACAACAGCAGCAACAGCAAAGCAAAGCACAAGCAACGCAAAGCAAAGCAAAGCACAAGCACAAGCAAAGCAAAGGAAAGGCAAAACAAAAGCAGTGCGCAACAGTACGATCAGAGAGCCCACCCGGTGGGCGAATGCAAAAACATGCGTGTGTGTGTGTGCGAAGGCAAAGCAAAATCAAAACCAAACAAAAACAACAATAAGCAAAAGCAAAGGCAACTACGACGATGAGGAGAAGGAGGAGGACGGCGTTTACCGTTACTACTAATGCTGCTTTCCTAGGGGCTCCAACTCCTAGGTAGGGTCGCACTGGGGTAATGTTTGATTGTTTTTGGAACACTCCTCATGTAGAGGGACATGCCCGACTTCAAGGTTAGGCGGCCTGGGAGCAGGCGAGCAGGGCAGCCCTCCCAGGAGCACGGACCGCGTCAAGAGGGAGATAGCCATCATGAAGCTTATACGTCGACTGCCGTTTCCTCCGCCAGCCCTCCGAGGAGGACAAAGGGTACCCAGGGTTTCTTAGTAAGCGTGGGGGGTGCCCCCCCCCCCCGACGGGGGTCAACCTCGCCTCGTCGGCCCGCCGCGACGAGTGTCGGAGCGCCTGAGGCGCGCCGCGACAAGGGTCGGAGCGCCTTCAGCGCGCGGTGGCTGCCCGCGGCGGGGGTCGATGTGGGGCTGTCGGCGGGTAAGAAACTCGGAGTGCCCATACCGCTGCCCTTCGGCCGTTTTCCTCTTTTTGGGCCTCCTGGGTGGCCATCGTCGCCACCGCTGGATTCGCTTCGAAATCTTGGACAGAACGCACCCCTGGAAAGGTCCGGGGAGTAGCGGTATCGGTCTCTTTTGGTTGCCCCATCCTCTATATCCTTATTCTCCCCTCCACGCTCTTCCTCCACCTCCTCCTCCTTCTCCTCCTCCTCCTCCTCCTCCTCCTCCTCGTCCTCCTCCTCCTCCTCCTCCTCCTCCTCCTCCTCCTCCTCCTCCTCCTCCCACGCGCCCCCACGCGCTGGTTGCCGGCTCCACCCTGGGGCCACCAGTGCGTTGCTGCGCGGATGTCCGCACGCGAGCGTGCCTTTCGCAGGCGGCGCGCGCGAGCGCACGGCAGGGAGGTTTGCCCGGCGGGCGCAGGCCGCAGGCCGCGCAGGCCAGAGAAGCGCCGCGTGCAACGGCATTATGTTCCTTCCTCTCTTCCGCCTCCATCTCGCTCCCTCTCTCTCTCTCTCGCTCTGCTCTCTCTCTCTCTCTCGCTCTCTCTCTCTCTCTCTCGCTCTCTCGCTCTCTCTCTCTCTCTCTCTCTTTTTCTCTGTCTCTCAGGTCGCCCTCCATTCATATGTCCTCCCTCTTTCCCCCTCTCTTCTTTTCTCGCCGTCGTCCTCGCTCCGTTCTTCTCTCTCCTGCCTCCCACTACCTCCTCCTCCTCCTCCTCCTCCTCCTCCTCCTCCTCATCATCATCATCATCATCCTCCTCCTCTTCCTGCTCCCATCTCCTCTTCCTGCTCCCTCCTCCATCCTCCACCCTTCATCCTGATAAATGGTTCCTCCTCCTTCTCGCATCAGCAGACGTTTCGGTAGGGTGGTCGGGCCGTTTCGCCTCAGACGTCCCTGCCACCTGTGAGATTGAAGCTCGTAGCTCTCAAGCATGTGCACGGATGGAGGGCTGCTGATTTTCAAACGAGGTTCTCGCCGCACTGCCGCGCGCACCCGTCTCGAAGTCAGTAGCGCTTCGCGTACCCCCACCAGCCCATGCAGGAACGATGCCCCAGGGAGCTGCCCTTATCGGGGGAGCGTGGCATCCTTTGGATACCTCGGGGAGCCTCAGTGAAAAAGAGGCCTCTTGGATGCCTCTCGGTGTCGCTTGGGAAGTCTACTGGGGGGGCTTCTGGTGGCCTCTTAGGGCGTTTTGGGGGCCTCTTGGGGGCTCTTGGGGGCCTCTTGGGGCCTCTTGGCGGCCGCTTGGCGGCCTATGAGGGGCCTTTGGGGGCCTTCTTGGGGCCCTCTTGGGAGCCTTGAGGGCCTCCTTGGGACCACTTTGAGGACAACGATCAGAGACAGGGGTCCTTAGCGCCCCCTCTAGAGCCCCTGCAGTCGCCTCTTGGGGCTCTATGGGGCGCTCTCGTGCGCTTTTGGGGCCAACTGGGCGCCCTCTTGGGCCCCTCCTTCTTGGGGCTCTCCTGGACCATCCTGAGGCCTCGGAGGGCCATTGGAAGCGAAAAGGCGAGAAGGCAAACCACGTCGATGCTCCATAGATGTTGGAAGGATGGGGAGGCTCCAAGGACACCTGGACCCATCTTGGAGGGGCTTGGGAGCATCCTCGGAGCATGTTGGAAGCCACCTTGAGCCATCTTGCGCTCTCTGGAGCCGTCGTGGAGGCCATCCTGCTCTCCCGGATATGCCCTCCTGGAGCTGCCCCGGGCCATCTCCGGCGCCCCGACGGGCACGCAGGGCGCCCTGTCCAGGCCCAGGGGGGGGGAGGGGGGGGGGGGGGGAGTTCGGCCCACGATGATAGGAGCCTCTCGGTTCCACCCGTCGGTGTCCTGGGCACTGATGAGTCCAAGTTGGTCCGAAGGCAGTGCAGATCAGTCCAGATTGGTGCAATTATAATCCAAAGCTAGTCCAAATTAGTCCAGAGGAGAAACAAAGGGGGGTTGAAAGAGGATGCGATCGCAAACATGGATCACGGGGGCGTGGCTTAGCGACGGTTCCCGTTTCCATGGGAGATCGCGGACTTCCGCCGCCAAGCGAGGCGGCACCGGCCGCATTTCGGGGAGGGCACCTCCCCGGATCCGTGGATTTGGCGACCGCGCGCCAGATCCATGGCCGGCCGATCCATGCTTGCGCGCCCCCGATGGACCACCTGCGCCCTAAAGGGCTTGTGGGATTGGCGTCGACGTGCTCCAGCATCTCAGCGGGTGGCGGATGGATGGTCTTCAGCCTGTGCCCCTGCCCTTCGGTACCTTGCAGCTCAGCCTCAAACGTTCCAAGCAGGTGAGCACGGATGGAGGGTGGTTGGTTTTCACCAGTGGCCTAGGGCGTACATAGCGTCGCGCGCGCCCGCCTTAACAGTTCCAGGCCATTGCGCGGATGGAGGTTGGTCGTTTTTCAAATGGCGGCTTTCGGCGTTGGTTCCACATACGCTCTTCTTAAAAAGTCAGACAGCTCTCCTCCCTGGAATGATGGAGGGCTGTTGCTTGTTGCCGCGATGTTGACGCATCCGGAGTTTACTGTTGTCCTTTTTCCTCCTCCTCCTCCTCGTCATCCTTGTCCTCCTCCGCCCTCTCCCTCCCTTCGGCCCTCCCTCCTACTTCTTTCCTCTCGCTCATCCCTCCCTTCTCCCTCGCCCCCCCTCCTCCTCCACTCCAGATCTTCATTCTGGTGGTCAGACAAGTTACCGAAGTTCCAAGCGCGAGCTTCATTTTTAAGAGGAAAATCGCCCTCCATCCGCGCAGCCTGTTGCAGGTTTAGGGCTCGTTGCAAAGTACGGTGGGGAAGCCTTAGGCGATGGCCCCGTCTTGACAAAGAGCCGCCCTCCGTCCGTGCATCCGTGGAGGTGCCCAAGACGAGCGTGCGCTGGCGCCGGGGCGGGAGCCTCCTTCCTCCTCCTCCTCCTTCCTCCTCCTTCCTCCTCCTCCTCATGTGGAAAACCACCCGCCCTCCATCCGCAAAAGTGCCCGAAACGTCAGGCCTCAAGATCGTGAGCGGTGAGGAAGTCTCGCGGGCGGGGTGCCTGTCCCGCCCTGACGACACGTCGGGTGGTGCAACAGTGGTGAGGCACACGCTCCCAGGAAGAGGGGCGGGGGAGAGCGAGAATGGCCTCCCTCCTCCTCTCTCTCTCCCCCACCCTTCCCTTCCTCCCTCCCACCCTCCCTTCCCCCCCACGGTCTGCACGACAGAGTGCCCCACGCAGAGCAGCAGTCTCTTCCCGCTCGGCCACCCCGGCCACGTCGGAGTGGCCGGGGAAGGGGTCGATGTGGCGGGCGCAGGGTAAAGGGCAGATGCCTCCAGTCTACCCCTCGCTCCTGGCTAACGTCGGCCTGACGCCTTCTTGCGGTGTCGTAGCCTTACGTGACGTCCCTCCCCTCCCCTCCCCTCTCCTCCCTTCCCCCATCTCCTCCAGCCAAGCCAGATGGTTTAAGTGGTGGATCCTCGTGAGGTCCAGTGCGCCACCCTGGCTTGACCTGTGTCATCGTCATCATCAGCATTACCATCACCATCACCATCAGCATCATCATCATCATCATCATCATCATCATCATCATCATCAGTATCAGCATCAACATCAACATCAACATCAGCACCACCATCGTCATCATCATCACCATCACCAGCAACATCATCAGCAGCATCATCAGCATCAGCATCAGCATCAGCATCAGCATCAGCATCAGCATCAGCATCATCAACAGCAACATCAGCATCTGCATCAGCATCAGCATCATCATCATCACCAGCATCATCATCATCATCATCATCAGCATCATCATCATCATCATCATCATTTATCATCATCATCATCACCATCATCATCATCATCGTCATCAGCAGCAGCATCATCATCATTGTCATCGATCGCCATATCCCTTCCCCCATCTCCACAGCAGGGGGAGGGGCAGCCGACGCGCTAGCGGCCTGCGGCTGGCGGATCGACCACCCAGGGATCATCAAGCTGCACGAGACGTTCGCGGACGCTGGGCGGACGACAACGGCTGGGGGCGCCAGTCTACGGAGGAGGAAGATGAGGACGAGGAGGAGGAATGGGAGGGGAAGAGAGAGGAGGAAGAAGAGGAGGAGGAGGATGAGGAGGAGGAGGAGGAGGAGGAGGAGGAGGAGGAGGAGGTGTCGCCCGCGGAATATGAGTGCCGTGCCCGGTTTCCCAGCCTAGCGTGTAATTTTCGACGATGGGTCTCATGGGCCCACCCCCCGCGGCCCCCGCAGATGTGCACCGAACGCCTTGTGGGGGGTCAACCACAATGTCATGTACGGAACAGCGCTTTTGGCCGCTACGGACAAGCCCCCCCACCCCCGGTTCGAACTGGGGGGGCGGGGGCTGGTCGGTAGGGGCGAAAGGGGCGGACGAAGGAGGAAGTTGGGAGGGGGGGCGGCAGGAGATGGCTGAAGGGGAGTAGCGAAAGGAGGAGGAGGAGGAGGAGGAGGAGGAGGAGGAGGAGGAGGAGGAGGAGGGAGGAGGAGGAGGGAGGAGGAGGGAGGAGGAGGGAGGGGGAGGGAGGAGGAGGAGGAGGAGGAGGGAGGAGGAGGAGGCGATTCCGACAGATCCGACAGGCCTCCTGCTCGCCGCCCCGGCGCCCGCGCAGCGCCACGCGCGCTTCGCAGAAGAGTGCGCCAGCTGCCCCCCAAAACGCAAGGCGGCGCAACTCACCACCCGAGGGGCCTCAGTTCCTGCCCGCCGTGGGCTGCGAGGCAACCGAAAGCTTCGTGAGGAGAAAACTGGAGGCGGCAACGCGCAGGCCAGCTTCACTCGGATGGCGAGGCGCCGAGCCCCGACCCAGGCTTCCGCCTGCCTCGGCAGGTCGGCACCCCGGAACATCCTCGGCCACACAAGTGGGCCACCTGGCGCGAGACTTAGCGGTGCCCAGAGCCACCCCCACGTGTCCACGTTGGGGCCAGGCGGCGCGCATCCACGAGCCTCCCCCGACCACGATGTGGTGCGAGGTGACCCGAGTGCTGAGCAAGACCCTGGGCGGGACAGGACCCTAGGCGTTTAACGAACAGCACCCACCACCACCCGTCAAGGGTGGATGTATGCAGCCTCAAGTTCCCCCAGGACGCTGCGCGGGTGCTGCACCAACCCGCCAGCCTCTGCCCCGGGGGCAAGAGGGGGAAGACGAAGACGAGGACGAGGAAAAAGGGGAGGCGGAGGAGGATGAGGCAATGAACAGGGTGGGGGAGGTGAGGTATGGAGTAAAGTGGGGAGTATGGTGGGGGAGGAGAAGGATGCAACTAGAGGGGAGCAACGGCAGGAGGAGGATGAGGTGCAGGAGGATGAGGAGGACCAGTGTAGACGAGGAGGATGACGAGGATAGCGTTAATGATGATGCAATGCAGTTTCCTGTCCCGAGTCCCCTTCCCAGCAGTCTACGTACCAGCATTCCAGTCCGCCAATGGAGGCGCACCCCTTGAGCGACGAGCACCCCACGGGCTTGTCAGTCAGTCGAGCGACGCGTTTTGAAAAAAAATGCGCTCCATCCGGATGGTTATCACAGGCGCCAAGGTGGACGACCAGAAGGCGCACGTAGCTGCAAAACGGGAGGCACAGTTTGAACCATCGTCCGTCTAAATGATGCGTTGTTCAAGGCGCCGGGCCATCAAACTTGCGACGTCTGCAGCGATATCCAACATATGGCAAGGAACCATCTTCAGTCCAATGCAGCGGCTGCACAATTCTCTCGTGCCGTAGAGTTTGGGAGCGTGTCAAGCGAGAGCCCTGTTTTGAGCATGAACCGCTATCCGTCAACGTAACCGTTGCAAGGTCTCGGGTGAATCTAGACGGCGCTCAGGCGAGAGCTATAGGGTGAAAACGGCCCGCCCTACATCCGTGTCGTTGTTGGATGTTGCTGCGCACGTTGAAGGCGAGTGTATTCGACACCTGTCCTCTATCCATATGAGTACATTTTCTAGCACAGGTTGAAGACGAGTGTGCGTGGCGTTCAGGCTGGATCTTCAGTTTAAGGTAGAACGGCCTAAATGTATCCAATAGCCCGAAGTGTTTAAGACGTCCCCAGGTGGCCATGAGGTGGGAGTCAGATTCGGAACACGCCCCGCCCTGCACCCGTGCAAGTGTTGGGGAGTCGAGCTTCTGAGTCATACGCCGTGAAAAAGGCCCGGGTGAGCCGCCAGGCACGCCCAATTGACACATCCGGTTGCGCGATTCGGAGGATGTGTCTCAAGGACGAGAAGAAGAGAGAGGATCGAGGAGCAAGAGGAGGAAGGCAACGAGGATGAAAAAGAGGAACACAAGTTCCGAGTTGGAGGAGGAGGAAGAGGAGGAGGAGGAGGAGGAGGAGGAGGAGGAGGAATCAGGAGGGACGAGCCAGGAGCTAGAAGGAGCAGGCGGGGGAGCAGCAACCAGCAGCAGGAAAGGGCCAGGGCGTCAGAAGATCCAGCCTTACATCCTTTTGTGGGGCGCGGGCTTCGAGCTTCGGCCGCCTCGGGGCACCACCCGTAATCCCTGCACGGCCCCCGACCGGGCTCCGCTTTCCCTGCTGCCCAGCCCGAGGACGACGACAACATTTACCTGTGCATGGAGCTGTGCACGGGCGGAGACCGGGAGGAAAACAGGGCATTGGCCGACTGATACATCCGTGCCATTTGGTGGTCTTCCCTTCCTCCTGGTCCGTCCACTCCTCCTCGTCCTCCTCCTCCTCCCTCCTCGTCCTCCTCCTCCTCCCTCCTCCCTCCTCCTCCTCCTCCTCCGGCCTCTTCTTCCTCCTCCTCCTCCTCCTCCTCCTCCTCCTCCTCCTCCTCTTCCTCCTCCTCCTCCTCCTCGTGGATGCCTCCTCCTTCTCCTCCTCCTCCCCTCTTCCCTCCTCCTCCCCCCTCCTCCTCCTCCTCCCCTCCTCCCCCTCCTCCTCCTCCTCCTCCTCCTCCTCCTCCTCCTCCTCCTCCTCCCCCTCCCCCTCTTCCTCCTGGTTCTCCTCTCTGGAGTCCGCTCCACCATGTGTTGTAAGTAACGCAAGGTCCTCCACGTGCACGCAGCCGCCGGCAGCTACAAGTGGGCTCCAGTGGGCGCGCGAGGGCCGGCACGCTTGGGAATGTGGGCTTCCGTAGGAGGGGCGCCTCGAGGGCGCGAAGTTGTTCGCGCTTCCCGCTCTGCGCTTCGGCGCCGATTCCCTCCCACCCTCTCCTCTTCTCCTCTGGGCAGCGGCGCGGGAGCGCGAAGCCCTTCGCGCTCCCGCGCGGCGCGGAGCGCGACGCTGGGTGCCCTTGCGCGGGCGAGGTCGTGGATGTGGAGCGGGCGTCGCCTGTCTGCGGTCGGGAACGTGCCACGCCGCCGGTGGCCCACCGCGCTTCGGTGCGACGCGCTGTCCACGTCCCGGTCCCCGGGCGGCAACGTCCCGAGCTCGTTTTTGTCTCCCGCCCCGAGGGGTGGAGCGACACGCTTTCCGCTCGCAGAGCAGAGCTCAGGAGGGGGGAAAAACACACAGACACTAACAGTTGTCGATTCCCCGGAACGTCTGGAAATTTGGGAAGTGGAGGGGAAGACGAACATACAGGCAATATGGAAAGTTTGGAAACATCTTGGGATTTGTGTCTACTTCTTTGTGTGTCCCTGGGCGCCCTTAATAGCGTGTCGCTGGGACCGCCGCCTCCGCGACACGCTGAGCAAAAGTTCTCGACCTTGTGCCTTCCCCAACGTGCACGCTATTTTCTTCGCGGGCCACTCCCGCCAACGTCTGCTGCGAGGCATGCAGTGGGTGGGGGATCGGGATGATTGGGTGGGCGGGAGTCGAAACCATCAGTCGCACTGTGCGCCGCTCTCCCTCCTCATTGCTATCTTTGTTCGGTCGACTAGTTGCCAGCCGGCGTAAATTTGACAAAGGTGGGCTACGTGCTTCCGGCGTGCTCTCCGGCCGTCACAATGTACGGTTTTCCCCTCCTTGATGGTTCGGTCTTTTCTTTGTCTGTTTTTCGTTCGAAACAATGAAAAAGCCATCTTCTTTCGGTCGTCATAGGGCCGCCTCTGCATGACCTCATGCGGAACGTAAGATGCTACAACCCTCATCCTCGTGATACTTCGACCTCCTCCTCATTCTTGTCCTGGCCCTCCCCTCCCACTGTTTCCGTTGCTGCCTGCTGCTGTTCATCCCTGTCCTCCTTCCCGTCCACCCTCCTCCCCGGCGTTGGACAAGGAGGGGCGGAGAAAGGACTCCCTCTTTCGTCCTCCCTCCGCCCTGCGCCGCTGCACCAGAGAGGGAGAGCGAGAGCGAGAGCCATGATGTCTTCCCTCTCCCCCCCCTGTTTGGCGGTCGCCGCCGCGAGCTCCATTCTGCGCATGTGCTTGAAGCAGGACCAGTGCAATATAGCCATGGCTTCTCTGCACGTCGACCCCTTCTTGATCTTCACCTCCATGGTCGCGTCGTTGTTCCCTCCTCCTTGGCCCCCCTCCTCCTGTCGCTGGTGCTGGCCGCCGCTGGTCTGCCCCTCCGTCTCCTGCGCTGCTCGGGCATCACGCGCGGTGGCCGCGTCGTCGCAAGGCCACCGCTCAGGCAGCCCAACAATGCAAGAGCAGAGCATCGGAGCGCGATTGCAATTCGGAGGAGCTGAATAAGAGCTCGCCGCCGCGCCCGTGTGGGACAAGGTGGCCTCCGTGTGGTCTGCCGATTGGTTTCCCCGCTGGTCTCCCCGTGCGATCTCCCGCGCGATCTCCTGTGCGGTGTCGGGCATGCTCTCCCGTATAGTATCCCGTGTGTTTCCGTGTGTCCTCCCGTGTGTCCCTCCGTCAGTTCCTCCCGCGTGTCTTCCCGGATGTTCTTTCGTGGGATCTCCCGTGTGGTCTTCCGAATGGCCTCCCCTCTGGTCTCCCGTGTGATCTCTCGCACGGTCTCCCGTATGGTATCCTTCATGCTCTCCCGCGTGCTCTCCCGTACAGTCTTTCCTAAGCTCTCCCGTGTGCTCTGCCGTATGTTTGTTTTCGTGTGGGATTCCGCATGGTCTCCCGCATGGTTCCCGTGTGTTATCCCGTGTGTCTCCCGCATGACTCTCGTGTGTACGTTGCAGTAGAATGCTTTCTTTGCACTTTACGCTTGCTGCTCATGTGCTGCTGCTGCTGCCATGATGGAGTGATCCCTTGGCCAGGGCGCTGTCTTCAATGATGAGGATACCGGAGCCCCTGGAACAGATACCGTGTGAGTCGGTGTTGACCGATCGGAGTATTCCGAGGTCAATGTCTGCTCTGCGCATATTTTTCTATTGTGCGTGTGTGGCAAAGTTGCCCATGTCTGCGTGTAGTATTTGGCGTGCGGCATCTATTCTGGAAGAAGTGCGACTGCATGTTCCTGAGCATCACATCCAGCAAATGGTGTATTTATCACTCTGTGAATGCTGTGACATTATCACAACGCGCTCAATAAGCCCATGGACCAAATTACAAGATGTGCAGTTGCACAGGATTATCGTTCTTTGCTTTGGAAGATGCACTGCTTGAGTGCCTCAACCTATTCAGCTGACATGTGTCTTTCCAGAATACGGTAAATCTTGTCTCTGTGAATATGTTGGCTTTGGTGTTATGGTGCCAATATGTTGTTCCACTTTCAAGCAGGGTGCGACATGCAGCCATGTTAGTGCGCAGCCAGATTTGTTTGAACCACGGGAGACACGAGCTCTTGAGTTTTGTCTTCTGACAGAGCAACTGAAAGTAGCGGAGGAGACAGGGATACGGGTTGACGAAGGAATGACGGTGGAAAGTGGCTCGCGGGCGGCGGGACCCCAAAGCTGTCATTCGATATCAATTATGTCGCATCTCGGTTCCAAAGCTTAGAACATGAACATTGTGCATTCCAGGCGTTCCAGTCCGAGCCCACAACAACAGCCGAATCATAAGTTGCGTCAGCCGCTGTGGAATGCTTCTGCATGCCACTGTCGTACCAAAGAACACTGACGTCATGTTATGACATTGCGATGCGAGTGAGCGTTCGGGCTGCAGATTTTCCACCTGATCACTGCTTCAAGGCGATATTGTGAAACATGAGGTGTGGAAGTATGGCGAGAGAGAAAAGTGGCTATCGCAGCCTCAACAAGTGATGTTGGCCATGTCTCGGAGGCGTTGGCAGTCCTCGGGTTCGGCTAGGCGCGCTCGCAGCCACCCGAATGCGGCCCGTGCGAAGGACAATCAGACAGGCGGCTGGTCTGTCCGTTCTCTTGATCGTCACCATCACTAGCATCATCGTCGTCAGCATCATCATCGTCATCATCATCACTAGTATCATCATCATCATCATCACCATCATCATCGTCATCATCATCGTCATGATCATCATGTTAATCCCTGATCCTCTTTCTCTTGTTCATAATTTATTATTTTCTCCCTCCCTCCCTCCCTCCTCTTCCTCACTTATCATTATCTCCCTCCTCATCCCCCCTTCTTCACCTTCTCTTCCTCCTCCTCTTCTCCTCCTTTTACTTTTTTGACGTTCGACAAACTAGGGGAGGCAGCTTGGAGCGTGCATCCTTCTCCTATTCCTTCTCCTCCTCCTCCCGTCTCCTCCTCCGCCTCCTCCTCATCCACCTCGTTCTCCGCTTCCTTCTCCTCCTCCTCCACCTCCTCCTCTTCCTCCTCCTCCGCTTCATGTTCCTCCTCCTCCTCCTCCTGCCCCTACAAACCCGCTGTGTTGGCTGTTGGGTCGTGGGGACACGAAGTTTTAGGGCTCCCCCCCGCTCCGGTCCAGTCGAGGTGAGCCCAGGCAGCTACGTGCTCGGGATGGTGGAGTCCTGGGGTCTACACTACCACTGTTTTGAGTCTTGTTAGTCCTGCTAGGGGTGACCCTCAGTTTAGGCTTCGGTATGAGCAGTTGAACTCGTTCACCTCGATTTGGAATCGGTTACCCCGCAAACAAAGAGTTCGAACCGCCCAAGTTTGGAAGAAGATTGCTGGTAAGTTCTCGTCCACGCAGCACCGTTGGCAGGTCGTGCGAGGTCCGATCGCGGCCACGCTGGCAGTGCTTCTTGATTTGAATTGTGATCCCGTCTCTCCAGTGTGCTGGCGCATTGGTACAGAAGTGTTCCGCGTTACGGATGTAGATTTACCCGTCCAGTTCTGGTCCTGCCTGGCCGTCACCTGCCAGACTATGTCGTGGAAGGCCGCGGCGGGACCCGACTTGGGGATGGGAGTGGAAAGGGGGGGGTCGACTTTACCATGGCGCACAGGTTTCTCAAGGGATTGGAGAAGCAAGCGGAGATAGAGTCTGCAGGTATGGTGCGCAATATTGTTACTGGCGCCTGTTGGACTGAAGCTAGGTTTCAGGATGCGGGCTACCTCTCTCGCACACGGCTGGGGTTTGTCCACGCTGCGGCGCCTCAGCTGAGACTCCGCTCCATCGTTTTTGTGAATGCATCGCCAACTAATTTTTGTTCGATGCGGTCGTGGATCGCACCAGCTCTCTTGTTGATCGGGCTCGTGCCGAACCCTTGCGCACGTGTTTGTGGCTTCGTGGCCTTCCGTTCCTGGCCGATTCCAGTGGGCATCTTCCGCCGCCCGTTTCCTGTGTGTGTGGGTGTGGGGCCGATCGGTGGGACGAGTGACGACCGATGGAGGCGTGTGGGGCATAGACGGATCAGGGGGGGAAATGCATTAAGGACTGGCGGCTCCGCCGCTGTGGTTGGGCGTGTGTCCACCTAGGTCCAGCTGGCCGTTTCGACGCCATCCTCACGGGCACCCTGCCCACCGAAGCAGTCTTCTCCGCGAGCGGAGCTGTATGCATTGATTCTGTTGGCCAGCAGCACGACTGGCCACTGCAGAGTGTATTGTGACTTCCTGAGAATGGTTGAAGAAGTACGTCTCCCCTTGCAGGCCAAATCCCGTTCGTCGATGTTGGATTTGTCGGCCAAGTATCTTGAAGCTATGTCGTCCCGTGGTGGTTAGATCCAAGTGTTTTGGACGAAGTCACATCCCACCCAGGCCCAACGCCAAAACATGTATTTGAGTGACGTTGAAGTTTATTTGAATAACGCGGCTGGTTTCTTCGCGGACGCTGCATCCAGGCGCGCCCAGGTTCCCGAGGAATTAGTGGATCAGACCCGCAGGGCCGATACACTTGCTCTTGATGTGTTGCCGAGGGTGTTGGCAGTCCAGCGGGAAATCCTTTTCACTGGGGAGCGGGAGCGTGCCGAGCGCGTCCTTAGAAGATGTCGTGGCCAACGTACTAATGCTGTTCAGAGATTGTGTAGATTGCGAGACTGTGGGCATGAGCCTCAGTTGCGGAGTTATGTTGTCAAGTGCTCTGTGTGCTTCAGAGGTTCCCCATTGATAAGGACGCTGGCGGATTTTTGGCCTGACCCTTGCAAGCCGCGCTGTCCTGTGCAGCAGAAGATCCAGAGCCTGCCCCCGAGGCCGCCTGCAGACCCGAGGGGGATGGACGACCCCGTCCCAGATGACCTCGCAGCCGTGCCTGTCGGAGGGGCGGCTCTGGACCACCCTTCGGCCGAGCGCTTTATGTGTCCCACCAGCTCTCGGTGCTTCGAGGAGTTTTGTTTTGTGAGGTCTGTGGTGGATTCTGCAAGGTCAATCCCCCGCGAACCCTCTCTAGGCCCTGTGGTAAGCCTACTTCAGCAGGTCGCGAGGTGTTGTCGCGGCTCTCTCTCGAGGGCTGCCCCCGAAATGGGCACCTCGTTTCCTGATTTGCGATCTGGTTTTAGCGACCTCCCTAGAGGAGGATGACGCTTTGGATAGAAGTAGAATTCAAATTGCTCCTCCCCCTCCTCCTCCTCCTCCTCCTCCTCCTCCTCCTCCTCCTCCTCCTCCCCGTCTTCCTTCCTCAAGCCACTTCCCCTCTTCCTCGCTCCCCCCCCTGTAGTTTGAGGACGCGCTGTTGCGTCATCCATTTGCCATGCGCCCCGCTTCCCCTTCAGGAGAGCTCTTCGGCCGCATCGTGCAGGAGCCCCGGCACCCCCTCTCCTCACCCCCTCTTCTCGTCCTCTGTCCCCCTCGGGCCCGGGGGCCCGGGTCCCGGAGGTCCGTGGGGTCCCGGTGGCCCTCAGGCCCTTGAGGGCCTCGGTCCCTCTCTCTCGACCTCCCCTCCCCCGCTCTCCGGGTTTAGCTATGGGTTAGGGCTCGGACTCCTTCCGTAGCCCTTTGGGCTTAGGCTGCGCTCCTGGTGCTTAGCAAAACATATCCCCCCCCCTTCGCCCCCTTTTCCACACTTCCTGCCGTGCTCTCAGCTTGGGACAATGGTAAGCGGAGCCACTGGTGAGGGGCAAGAGGGGGAGGATGATGCGGGCGCCGGCCGACAGCATGGCCAGACCCAGACGACGCCGACGGATCCCTGGGCCAGATCAGTTCCGGAGACCACGCGCCCTGCAGCCGGGGCCGCGACCCCAGCTGGCGCCCAGGACTCCTGGTGGCGCCAGACGTGGGGAAGCGCGTGGTCAGGGTGGAGCTCGACGGCGGGTTCGTGGCAGTGGGTGCCGGCCCAGCCAGCGGCGGCGGACACGGCCGCGGCTGGCGTGGCGTCCACGGGCGCAGCGGCAGTGGCGACGGAGCAGGACGGGCAGAGCGACTCGAGCCAGTGGGGTGGCTGGTGGAGTGGCTCCTGGGATCGCCCGAACCGCGACTTCGGCGCTCCGCCAGCTTGGCTCAACTATGAGCATCTCGATCTCTACAAGGGCAATCTACGTGCATGGGCGAAGAGGACCGGGTACGCTGCGGAGGTTCAGGCAGCCAAAGTTCTGGAGACTCTTCCCGTTGAGATCCAAAGCAAGTTCAAGCTGGTGAGATCGACCGTAGACGTACGCGACGGTGTGGAGAAGTTGTTGGACCACTTGGCGATACTCAACGGGGAGCGCCCAGGCGACAAGGAAAGGGAGGCACAGAACGAGGCGCTCTTCGACTACAGCATCCGCCGTGGCGAGAGCTTGACGGACTACGTCCTCAGAAGGGACGCCCAGATCTCGACGGCGGAGACCTTCGGACTGTAGCTTCCCGATGGAGTTCTCGCACGATACCTGGAGGAGGGCGCCAATCTCAGTCAACAGAATAAAATTAACTTGAGGACGCTGGCGGGAGGCGACAAGTCGTTCCAGGCTATTAGACAAGCTCTGTTGTTGCTGGATGTGCGCGAGCGCAGCGTGCCCCCAGGATCGACCTCGACGGCGACGAAGACCTATGTGGAGCAGACTCTGGAGGAGCTCGAGGTTCAGCCACCTCCGGGACCGTGGTGCGACGATCCGGAGGCGGTGTCGTTCTACGAGACGGTGGACGACTCGTTCGAGCTCCTCGAGGATGACGCTCAGACGTTCCTCACGGCCCTCGAGGAGCAGGATTTGGCGGAGGACGACCTGATGCCCGTGCTGGCCGCCATCATCGAGGAAAAGATTGGAAAGGAAAAATGCAGGACCTGGACCGAGGCTCGCAAAATGAAGGCTACTCGCAAGGTTGATCGTGAACTCTTCGACCGTAGGCGCGCGTCCAAGCCCGGATACCGCCGCATCACCTCAGCCGACCTGAAAAAGAAGACGAGATGTGCCAACTGTGGTGAGCGCGGACACTGGGCAGAGGACCGCAGGAAGCCCTACAGATCGAAGCTGGACCGGATCAATAACGAGAAGAAGGGAGCCTCGTCCTCGGCCGCGACGAAAGGGTCCTCTCCTGGCTTCTTCTGCTACTCCAACGCCGACGGAGATCCCTCGTTCTCGACAGATGCTATGACGATGGAGCTCGAGTCGGAGGCCGACCTCGACAAGAGCCACTGCGACGGGTTCGTGGCCGCCCACGACCTGAAGCAGACCATCTCCTTCGTAGACGCGGGGATGACACAGCTGGGCCAGCGCCCGTGCGACTCTGACAACTACGAGCTCGGGGCCGACCTCGACTCGATCATCGTCATCTCCGCCGGTGAAGCAGCTGAGTCATCTACGTGGGCGACCTTCAGCGTCGAACAGTGGGTAGGCCTGATTGGCCAGTTGGAGACACCGGAGGTTTCGCTCAGGAGCATGAGGGATCGCGCACTGGTGGACACGGCAGCAGGCCAGGCCCTCATCGGAACCCCGGACGTGAAGAACCTAGTCGAGGCCTTTCGCAAGCGTGGCTATTTCGTGTTCGTCGACTGGACTCCGCTCGATGGTCGCAAGGCCTCAGGCATCGGCGGATTGGCCAAGACGGTGGGCAGGGCCTGGGTGCCATGTTCTTTGGCAGGATGCGGGTTCATCGAGTTTCTAGTCCTGGAAGGCCAGGTCCCGCCGATCCTGCCCGCCAAGTTTCTTGAGATGATTGAGGCCAACATTGATCTGAAGGCTGGCGAGATGACCGTGACAGATTGCGGAGATAGAGTCGTGAGGCAGCTTTTCCGGATGCCGTCCGGGCATCGCTCGGTTTCTCTCATTCACTGCGCTCCCGAGTACTTCAGCATCCCCGAGGACATGAAGGCGAGCCTGCCCGCGGGCTGCCTGCCGCACCTCGTTCAGGACCGAAGGGGAGCGGGCAGTGAGGGCCGGGAGCAGCCTGTGCTTTCAGCTTTCCTCTCCTTTCTCTCTCGCTCTGGCTCTGTCTTGGGTTCCAGGGTCCGGGATCCGAAAGCCTCGGGGGTCCCGGGGAGCAGCGGGTCCGTAGCCTGTCCGGTTCCAGACGTCAGGGAGCTCAACCTGGCCTCGACCAGCCCGGAGGACAACGACGCAGGATCGGATGCCCGATCGCAAGAAGCCCGTCCTGAAGACCACGGGGGTCGGCAGCAAGCCGGGGACTCCGAGGCGCAGCAAGCTGCTGGGCTCCATCATCGAGAGCGACAGCGAGGTGTCGTCAGGACAGGAGTGGGAGCGGCTTCCGGAGACTCTCGAGGACACCCTGAGGGCCGAGGGGATGCAGGAGAGCGAGAAGGAGCTTTTCCAGGACGGCCGCATGCAGCTAGGGAAGTACGAGTATCGTTGGCGCAACTGGTACCTGCGCCTGGTCAACATGACGCACATCCTGGGCCGGATGAAGCACCTCTGCCAGACGCTTCCGAAGACGTTCGTCGAGAGCTTCCCCGCCGACTCGTGTCCTCACCCGCCGTGGGCTCGCAAGTCGGGGAGCAACTCCACCAGCGTCTACGAGCACTGCCGGCAGTGCTCCCAGCGCCTCTTCTTGAGGGACAAGACGTCGGAGGAGATCTTCGAGGCCGAGAAGCGCAAGATCGACAAGCAGGCGGGCAAGGTCAACCGTGCGGATGCCAAGGCGAGGGCAGCTCGGATGGTGGAGGCGTACAAGAACGGCCATTTCCCGATCCTGCCACCGGATCCGTGGACGCCAGGACCGGAACCTCAGCGAGCTCGCCGCATCCAGGAGGGGAGCGGACCTACGGCGAAGGTGTCGGCGGCGGGGATCCCTCCGGTTCCCCAGAACCTTTACGTGCCGGTGAGCGAGGGGTACGTGCCCTACAAGCACCCCTCCCCGGCGCAGCTGGAGGCGGCCGAGCCGACGATGATCACCTCAGGAGGCCGGGCGATCGACTTCTCGGCGCAGAGGGCGGCGAGCCGAGCAGCCGGAGCCACGGCCAAACCACCAGGACCTCCGGAGTCTCGGCCCATGACGACGACCGAGATGCAGATCGCGCTGTCAGACATGAAGATCTGCATCGAGACCCAGGCCAAGGCCAACGAGAGGGTGTGGGGCACGGTCCAGAGTTTCGTCAATCAGGAGAGGGAGATGCGCGCGCAGCAGCCCGCGCCGAGCCTCTCGGACCAGGATCTCGGGAAGATTGCGGCCATGATGATGCGCATGCAGGCGCAGCTGCAGCAGCAGCAGGGCACGTCCTCGGCGTCAGGAGGGCCGAGCTGAACACCTCGGAGTACGTCAACGACGCCGGAGCGCCGCTGCTGGAGGCGCTTGCGGCGCTGAGGAAGCCGGGCGCGCCGCCCGCGAGGCCCCAGGACCTCTTTCTTCGAGACCTTCAGGTCTACCATTCCAGGTCCAGGAAAGAAGATCACGCCTTCGGCAGGGGTTTGATCCAAGGGATTTGGGACCGGTCCGCTCAGAGATTTCTGGAGGCCTCCGATCTTCAGCCTCGTCTGGGGTGGAAGCGCACTCCGGTGGAGGGCGATCTCGCGTCCACCTTTTTCTTGGCTCTGTCCATAGAGAGGTGCGGGGGCCGGGCCCCGCGCTGCACGGTCCCAAGCCAGACCAGGTGGATGAAGTTGAGGACAGCGACGGCCGAAGCCTCTTGAGCCAACCGTGGGGCGCGGTCACGAGCGCGGAGATCGATGATGCCATCTCGAAAGCACGGGTCGCTCCTGTCAGGAAGCTCTGCCCCCCCGAGGTCTTCCTGTGGTTCGAGTCAGGTCTTGAGGAGGAGGTGGCGGAGACTAAGGGAGGAGAGCTAGAGAGGGAAGGAGAGGAGGAGGCGGGGGCCCTAGATGACACTCTCTCGTACGTTGTCGAGGACCGCTTCGCGGCCGCCGCCCTAGCCGGAGCCGTGCCTGAAGCCCTGGTGGGGCCCTCGGTGCCGCGCAAGGTCCGCGAGGCCTCGGCGCGGGTCTTAGGAGGTCCGGGCCTCAGGACGGGTCGGCGCCTCAGAGCGCGGGAACTTCAGCGGGCGGAGGGCTTAAGGGGGGGCACTCTGGTTATGGAAGTGTTCATGCGCCCCCGGGTCTCCGAGGAGCTAAGGCGGCGGGGATGCGCCGTGTCGCCGGCGTTCGACATCCTGACGGGCAAGGATCTTAGCACGCCTAAGGGCCGCAGCGAGCTGTGGCGGCGGATCGCTGCCGATGAGCCTCTCGTGATCATCATGTCTCCTGTCTGCAAAGCGTTCAGCATCGCTCGGGTGCCATTCTGGGACACCATGGATCCCGACAGGCTCGTCGAAGAAGAGCAGCGAGGGCTCGAATACATGCAGTTGTGTGCCCTGATTGCCCAGTATCAGCTCCAGCGTGGCAGGTATTTCTTATTCGAGCAGCCCGAGCGAGCCAGCTC